CAGGCAGACAGGCAGGCAAACAGGCAGACAGACAGGGACAACCAAAAAAAACTAGGACCTCCGAGCAGCATCCTCCAACCACCTGATAAACTTATAAAGGAGAAAATGAAGACCAAAAACAAGGGGAATAGGAACAAATTGCACGGATGAGTCTCTGTCTCGGATAGGCCTCTGTCTCTGCGCTTGTTTTTAGTTTTTACAAAAGTTTTACTTAAGGATTTTGCAGCACTTGAAGACAATTCAGTGTAACATAATAGAAAAAGAAGGAGGAGAGATTTAATAATGTAGATAGATGTCCGACAGAAAAGAAGGGACAAACCACACCAGAGCACCCACCAACCATCCATCATCTGTTTCAGCGCATGTGCACACATTATATTATATATTATTAGGTGTGTGTGTGTCTCTGTGTGCGTGTATGTGTGAGTCTGTGTGTGTGTGCGTGTGTGAGTCGCTGTGTGTGTGTTTGAGAGTCTCTGTGTGTATGTGTGAGAGTCTCTGTGTGTATGTGTGAGAGTCTCTGTGTGTATGTGTGAGAGTCTCTGTGTGTGTGTGTCTCTGTGAGCGTGTGTGTGTGAGTCTCTGTGTGTGTGAGTCTCTGTGTGTGTGTGCGTGTGAGTCTCACCTGTGTGTCTGCATGTCCTTCTTGCGGGCAAACCTCTTGTCGCAGACGTCGCAGGCGAACCGTTTCTCCCCGCTGTGCAGCAACTTGTGGTTCATCAGCGACCCTTTCATCTTGAAGGCCAGGCCGCACGTGTCGCAAACGTAGCGCCTCTCCGCGCTGTGCACGTAGTATTTGTGCGAGGCCAGCGTCTTGGGGTTGGTGTACTTCTTGCCGCACGTATCACAGCCGTAGACGCGCTCGCCGAGGTGCCGTATGGCGTGGGACGTCATGTCGCGTTTACAAGCAAACCGCTTGTTGCACAGGTCGCAGCGGAAGCGCTTGAACCCCGTGTGTGTGAGATGGTGCCGTATGAGCGTCCCGTGCTGAGTGAAGCTAAGACCGCAAAACTCGCAGCGGAACGGTTTCTCCCCTGAGTGCAGACGCTGGTGTGCCTGTAAGACGTGCTTGAGGCCGAACCGGGCGTGGCAGACGTCGCACTCAAAGGCCTTGACCTTGCTGTGCCTCACCTGGTGGTCCTGGAGGTGAGCGCGACGTTTGAAGCCCTTGCCACACAGGTCACACTGGAAGGGACGGTTTTTATCGCCGCGGCCTCGTTGCGACGTGTTTACCGCCAAGGAGGAGATGCCTGTTGCCTCCTCGTCCAATTGTGCCGTCTGACCAGAAAGGATATTCTTCTCGTCTGATTGCAACAGCTGACTGGACGAGATATCTACCTCACCTGTGAACCCCGACAGTAACAGATTTGTTGCAGCATTATTTTCCCGAACGACAGTTGTATTCATATCATCATCTGCATAATTCTCCACAACACTACCATCCTCATCATCATCATCCTCGTCTACGTGATTTTCCACCACACAATCATCATCATCATCATCACCTTCACAACTTTCACCAATTCCCCGAGATTTATCCACCGGAATAGCCACAGCCAGCATGCCCCCTGCCCTATTCCTTCCATCAGGATCTGACTTCTGTACATTATTATTTGAGCTTCCACAAACAGATGGACTCGCGGCCCCGATCTCACCCCTCATTTCTTGCGCCCCACGAAAGGTCACACGTGATCTTTCTTCATACCGACGGACATTTGGGAGAATTTCCTCCAGCCTCTCCACCTGCACTTCTCCTTGAGATGTGATCACCTCATCGGAAAGATTCCTACTTCCACATTTAAAGTTTATAATATCCCCATCGTTCTCCTTTCGGAAAATTTCTCTTTCTGAGTGGCCCTCCTTCACCATCGTAATCCTTGCACGTTCCGAAATTTCTTCCGAAGTTGTGTAACTCACGTTCCTAGCGGAAACGTCATCAAGCTTGACAGGAAATGGTTTGTCTGTGAGAGAAGAAGTATTTTTAACTAGCTGGGTACGGTGACAAACAGCTCTATCCACAACATCCATATCTTTTACGTCCCCAAACAACACATTGAGTTTGCGTCCGTGTCTGTCGGACAACCCAAACTTTTTTCCTGTTTCCTCATTACTCCCCATCTGTATCACGTCGCCACCTATCTGTCCATCGGTGCCAGTATCTCCCTGCCCAGCAGTTCTTTCGCCAAAATGGACGTGTGCCTGTCCTTGTCCGCCTATCTGTCCATTCTTTCTGACCTGTTCATTTCTGTCGATATGCGTATTTCTGTCGATATGCGTATTCCTAACAACCTTTTCCTTTCCACTTGTCTGACAGTCCACCCTCTTGATTAACGCACCTTGGTGCTGAGAGAGATTTTGATTCCTCTGACCACCACTCTCCGCCACCGACAGTGAAAAGGCGGACATATTTGGTTGACCAGAACCACCGAACGTCGAAGATGAGAAAGCCGTTGCGTACCCAGGACCCCCTTCACTAGTCACAAAATTGTCACACAGCGAACTGCTTTTTCCTTGAGGCTCTGGGAACGAGCTGGGAAAAGAGACATCCTGCAACAGTCCGCTTCTCGAGTAAGAATCAAACACAGCTCCGCTAGACGGGGTCGCCTGGCCCGTACTCACACTACAACAACGCTGTACATTCAGTCGACTCGGGACAGGTGCATGGCAACCCCTTCCGGTAGAAAAAGAATTTGTCGTAGTGTCAGATAGACCAGTCACCCTCGAAGGAAGTAGACGAGATGTAATGAAATCCCCGCTCTTACCCTGAAGGTCAGTGGTGTAACCTTGGTCTTGAAGGTTGGTGTGACCTTGGCCTTGAAAGTCATCATGACCTTGACCCTGGACATGACAGCGACCATGTCTTTTCACTTTGTTGACGTCTGTCCCCGTGACAGGGTTAGTAGTGAGCTCAAGGTCACCGAGGGCAAGACTTCGGAGGATGTGCTGCTGCCACGTTGTCGCACAATCTGCCCCTGCGCTAAATCTGGTCACCTCATTATCTCGTTTGGCTGGAACTGTCATGGCCCCAGGAGTGGCGGGAAAAACCTGCGAGGGGAAGTGACACAGCTGTGTTGTGGAGCCACTGTGGCTAAATGCAGGCTCTGCCTGTGGCTCCAAGAGGACACGGTCTCTAGTGACAGTGGCATCCGCCTCAAGTTTCCCGTTTCCGTGTGAACTTTGGCCTTTCCGAGGGTTATCCGTTACGGCGGAGGCAGCGTTGGAGTTTTCACTACTTTTAAGCGACAAGTTTGTTCTCGACCCGCACGTGTGGGACTGACGGTGAAAGTTAAGTCTCCACCTCATGGTGAATCCTTTATCGCAGACGTCGCATTTGTAAGGTCGCTCGCTTGAGTGTGTCAGACGGTGGCCGCGCAAGTGAGATTTCTGCCGGAAAGTTTTCCCGCAAATGTCGCAGCTGTGCGGCCGCTCCCGGGTGTGGATGAGCTCGTGCTCCCGCCGATCTTTGTCGAACGGGAAGCGCTTGTCGCACACGCCGCACTGGAACTTTTTGGGTGCCGTGTGGAGCTGCTGGTGCTTCGCCAGGTTTCTTTTCTGGTTGAAGTCTTTGCCGCAAATCTCACAGACGTACATCCGCTCCTGGGTGTGAATCTTACGATGGCCCATTTTCTCACTTTTACTGCAAAAGACTTTCAGGCAGATGTCACATTGGTGGGGTTTGAGCCCCGAGTGTCGCTTTCTGTGCATCATCATATCGTTCTTTCTTGCAAACGTTTTGTCGCAAAGATCACATTGGAAGGGTTTCAGCCCCGAGTGAAGCATACGGTGATTCATAAGCGCCCCCTTCAATTTAAACGCCATCCCACAAACATCACAAATGTACGGCCTCTCCACACGGTGAACATACTTGTGAGACATCAGCGTTTTATAACTGTTGAAACGTTTGCCGCAGATCTTACAGGCGTGCAATCTCTCCCCTAGATGCCTCTCTGTGTGCCATTTGACATCGGCCTTGCTGGCAAAGCGTTTGTTGCAGAGGTCGCAGAGATATTTCTTGTTCCCTGAGTGGACGAGTCGGTGGCGATTCAGGCTCCCGTGCTGAGAGAAGGACAGACCACAAACCTCGCAGCTGAAAGGCCTCTCCCCCGTGTGTGTGCGGCGATGTGCCACCAGGCCACGCTTCAGGTGAAAGGTCATGTCGCAGAAGTCGCACTGGAACGGCTTGTGCGTGCTGTGGGTCACCTGGTGGTCCCGTAAGTGGGTCGAGTAGCGGAACGATTTCCCACACACCCCACATCTGTGCGGGCGGTGGTCGGAATGTGAAGACAAGTGATGTTTTCTCAGTAGAGATTTCTCAGAGAATGTCTGCTTGCATAAATTACAGGAGAACTCTTGGCTGACACCATGCTCATTTTTTAGGTGAGCGTTCAATTCTTTCAGACTGGAAACTATCAAAGAACAGACATGGCACTTTTTTACATCATGAATCCTTTCATGCCTGGTTAAAGTTGTCCTTCGCGAGAAAGTTTTAGAGCATTTTGAGCACTTAAAACACTTGTCTGCCTGTACCTTCGCAAAGGACACAGCTGGTTCTAAAACTGAAGACTTATTTTCACTTTCACTATCCAGACATTCTTCATCTTGAGAAGGCAGTTTCAGATGGCCCGTCATTCTCACTTACTTCCCCTGCAGTAACCCCTATTTTTTTAAATTTGATAAAAATGATATTTCTAAGTTTCAGTACACTCTTCTTTCCTTGGGTATGGTGAAAATCGCAACATTTTAAGCAAGACAGCTTCTTCTCTCAGTTAGCTTTTCATGAGAGTCTTTTCCGCACCTAAGTGTACATGACTTCAGGTCTGTTACTTAAATTCCTCTGCAATCTTTCAATCAACTATTTCTTGTTGATCGCAGGTCAAGGTTCACCAACATGCCTGATATGACGAAACATTTCCTCTTTCATGTCTCTCACTTAACCATGTCTAGTCGACCAAAGGTCCAGATTTACCAAGATGCCGGATACCCGACCAAAGGTCCAGATTTACCAAGATGCCGGATACCCGTTCAAAGGTCCAGATTTACCAAGATGCCCGATACCAATAATAGTAGACTCTGTAACCTCTCACTTAATTGACCATTTCTAGCTGGCCAGAGGTCAAAGTTCATCCACATGCCTGATAATAAGTAAAGACCACACCTCAACATCTCCACAGACAGGACCTTCCTCCATCTCAGCCGCTGCTCTGCTGCATCAACTGTTGATGTTGTACCTTATGTGCTTTTTGCAGAGGTGCTGCTCCTGACAAATCAGCATCATGTTTGCCACATCTCTTGAGGCTGAAGACATGTCTCTTAGTCTCTATCTTCTTTCCACAACTCAGCACATGGGTAGACCACTGAATAGGCGTAGATGAGTGACCACCCAATAGGTGTAGATGAGTGACCACCCAATAGGTGTAAATGCCGAATAGGTGCAGATGAGTGACCACCGAATAGAGGCGTAGATGAGTGACCACCGAATAGGTATAGATGAGTGACCACTGAATAGGTGTAGATGAGTGACCACTGAATAGGTGTAGATGAGTGACCACTGATGAGTGACCACCCAATAGGTGTAGATGAGTGACCACTGATGAGTGACCACCCAATAGGTGTAGATGAGTGACCACTGATGAGTGACCACCCAATAGGTGTAGATGAGTGACCACTGATGAGTGACCACCCAATAGGTGTAAATGAGTGACCACCCAATAGGTGTAGAGGAGTGACCACAGGCTTTCTTCAACGACTACAGACAAGGTGTAATAGATGAGTGACCACCCAATAGGCGTAGATGAGTGATCGCAGGCTTCCTTCAATAACCGCAGACAAAGTGTAATAGATGAGTGACCACCTAATAGGTGTAGATGAGTGACCACTGGCTTCCTTCAATGACCGCAGACAAGGTGTAATAAATGAGTGACCACCCAGTAGGCGTAGATGAGTGACCGCAGGCTTCCTTCAATTACCTCAGACACGGTGCAATAGTAATAGATCAGTGACAGCAGACTCTCAGCAGTGACTGCATTCACAGTAGCAGTAACTATGGAGCCGATTCAAAGTGACCCAGCAAACTAGGAAACGAGAAAGAAAAACTTTTGTTAGAAGTTGCATGTTAATATTTTTAAAAAACCAGAAAAATATTTGCACAAAGACAGAGACCTTTCTAAAAAATAATTGATATTTCAGTTTAAAAAATGTTTGCAGTAATATTGAATATTATTATATCGACTGCTCAGAAAAGACTCCATCATGTGTCCCTTTTCCAAACAGTGTATGGCAGAGTCTAATGTTAATATGGTTTCTTTGTATTGACTTCAAGGAGTTCCCGAACACGGAACACTCGAATCTTGAACAAATCCACTTCGAATTTTCTCAACTAAAGACCCCGCTTCTTGCTGCTGGTAGGTGCTTCTTTGTTATAATTGTTGCAGGAGGAAAGGGGGGGGGGGGGGGGGGAGGGGGGGTTGGGGAGTGATGCTGACCGCACCACATAACTGGCTCGCTACTCGTGCAATCATGCAGTGGGACGAGGGCGGGGTGGATGGCAAGAGATGTAACTTTCTGTAAGCCAGTGAAATGAGAGGAAAGGAATGACGTAGGAGTCAGCAACGCACACGTGAGATCTTCTGCTTTCCACTTTCATTTATTTTTTTGCTTTCACACCATCAAGATGTTCATCAAGGGAGCTAACCATGTTAATTGTTTTAATGTTCTTTTTACCTCCCTTCTTTTTATCCCTATTTCTTTGTATTCTCAGGGCTTTCACAGACAAATGACGAATTACGGAAATCTTGAACACTATTTCCAATCCTCGTCGAATTCGAGTTACCCATGTTTAACTGTATATTTAAATTCTTTACCCATAATCATAATAATTAAAGCTGTGAACAGGTTCTACTGTAAACACTAGGGCCATGGTTCAAAGGTGAATGGTTTTAAGCTAAAGAATCAGTAGACATAGACAGACCAAAATCTGAGAGATCTCCAGATCAAGCATGGTAGCTTCTCTGCTGCATACTTACTACAACTCAATTATTGAACTACTCAACTGGGCCCAGACTTGGACTACACTGATAAAGATAGGATAGTCCTACTCTTTAGGCAATTATTAGGCTACTTAGATACTAAGCCTACTATAGGTGCATAATATAATCATCATACAAGGCTCAGGAGTATTCTCAGCCAAAAAGTAGGCCTACTGTTAAATTTAATGCATTTTGTATTTTGTAATCAACCTAAAACCAAAAATACAACTACCGGCTACCTGTGGTGCATTGCAATGGGATCAAAATGGAACTAGATCTTATGGAGTGTGGGTTTTGGCCCCAACGATAACTAGATCTTATGGAGTGTGGGTTTTGGCTCCTCGGACAATTATTTCTGATTTGAAACAAACACTATTGGCTGCGCGTGCCTATATATATATGATGATTAGCACACGGCAAATGAAAGAAAATATCAAACCTTATTGCAAAGGAATCCTATTGCAAAACATGTGCAACAAGTGCAAGCTATGGTTAAAAACAGGGGGGGCATGCCTAAGTCAGTCGATATTTCGAGTAGTACAGGGCCTATTCTTGGGTCCAAAACTGGAGATGCCGCTGCAATACTGCAGAACTCAAAAAATGTTTGGGGCTTGAGGCATTCTGCAATAAAAACAAAACAAAAACAAACACTTTCTACAAACACTGTAAAACAACATTTATGGGCACTCTTCAGGAGGAAGGACTTCCGTAACGAGCGACCACCCCATCAAACACAATAAAGAAGAGGCCTTACCCTAACCCTAACCCAAACCCAAACCCAAACTCTAACCCTACCCCTAGCCCTCAATTCTACTCTCATAGTGGTCGCTCGTTACGGAAGTCCTCCCCTTAAGGAGAAGTGGTCCCAGCCTAGCTATATATCCTTTACTCCATAGACATTTTATAGATCTAATCTAGATCTAGATTTAGATCTAGATCTAGATCGGAAGTCAAGTAAAAAAGCTGACTGAGTTGCCAGGATGAAAAGGCCATCGGTAAATTCATAGAAGAGGTCCAAACCCATTTTAGACCATTTTTCGGTACTATTTTAACGTTTTTTAGTCTGTTGAGAACAATCCTGGCACTAAAAACTGTTACAAAATTACAACCTTTATTTTTCCCCAAAAAAAAAATAATAAAAAAAATAAATAAATAAATAATCAGATCTAGATCTAGATCTAGATCTAGATCTAGATTCTAGATCTAAGTGGATCTACCATACGTTTTGTTCACATTGTAATGCAGTAGGCCCATATAGCCTATAGGACCCCTATGTTTACATTATCTTATCATTTATACATTATGATTCAATTTTTAAGAATGTTTGTACTTCTAGAGACTACTATCCTAAAAAGCAGGTTAAATAAAAACTAGACTAGTTGTGCAAACAATGAATCTTGATCTAAATCTAGATCTAGATCCAAATACTAACTTTATTCGTAAATCTGTACCACCAGCAGAGCAAGACTTGGTAAAGAAAACAGCAGTAGATCTCCAGCCTAACTGAACTCGTTCACTTCGCTTCGCTGTCGCCTCTCGATTCTCGATCACAAAAGGCCACACAATGATTTACTGCGAGAGTGCCTTCCCCTGCCCTTTCGTTTTCCCGCAGTTGCTTACAACAAGGAGAAGGTCGGAAGATAAGTGAAGAGAGAGAGAGAGATCAAGAGAGAAAGAGAGAGAGAGAGAGAGAGAGAGAGAGAGAGAGAGAGAATTTTTAAAAAATGTACTATTGGCCTACAACATTAAGAGATAGAAATGAGGGAAATAGAGATCAGGAGGAGGAGGGGGGGGGGTATTATAAGAGTGAAAAAAGAAATGAGTAAAACAAATACATAGAAAGAGGGGGTGGTGGAAACTAAGGGAAGAAAACAATCTTTGTTAGGCTACAAAACAAGGGGTTTTTATTTTTTTTAATTGGTAAGTGTTTTGCGGCGCTCGCAACTGCATAAGGTCATATGAGCGCGCGGGACTCACCAAACATATTTAAGTTGGTTAGGAATTTTTGAATTTTGCCCGGGTGGCAGCCGAAGCCTACTCTTATCGATTTTTTACCACCAAGGGATCTTTAACGTGCGCAACTTGCACACGGGGCCTCCGAGATTTTTCGCCCTTGTCCGAGAAGGCTAGGTGTAGATCTTTCTTAGATCTTAGGTGTATCTGAAAGACAGCAGTAGGCCTAAGAAGGAGCCAGCAAGGAGTAGCATGCAGTAGAAAAGGCTGCATAAGGCGGAGAGCAGTCAACGCCACGCTCGTCTGTCCAGGTCGCATTTTCCAATTTCCGCTCATACCAGGCCCTGGGTGATTGCCTCATCCCTTATTATTGTGCCGCTGTAGCTTCCATTTGGTCTTCCTTTTATTCATTTTCCAGTTGGCCTCCAATACCATATCTGATAGAGAAAAATCGTGTCTTTAATGGCATTCTTAGAACATGTTCTATAAATTTAATATCCCCATCTTCTCCTTTTTAAGGTCGTGTTGATGTCTTCAATTCCAGCTCTTTCCAACACTTCATTTTTAGTATTTTTAAACAGTTAGTTCTATATTTTATAAGCCAAAATCTTCGTAAAGATTTTGTTTGAATTTATTATCGTTGAATTTTTGTTTTCATATCTCTGAACCATACGACAATACGGCCTAAACATTGCTATTATAGCCTATATTTCTTAATTTTTTTCTTCAATAAAATGATCTTTGACTTCCAGGGTTTTAAATTTTACAAAAACAATCCATGCATTTTAAAGTCTTTGTTGGACGTCGCCAATGCAGTCTACAGTATGGGAGATAATTTCCCATGAAAAAGAAACTTGAATGTACTTATTTCTGCAAGGGCTCCTCCATAAAAAGTGATGGGGTAGTTTCTGGTGACCGCAGCACTCCGGTGGTGAACACATTTATTACAAGGCAAACTTTTCCTGCAGCTCTTGCTAATTCATTTGTTTTTGAGTGCTATTAATGTAGGCCTACTATGGTGTTTATATGTTTAGTAGGAGAATGTCGTCCGCAAAATCTATCTCCTAAAGATGTGCCATATTCCATCCAAAGCCTATTTTAGTGTCTTTGCTCTGACAATAATTTTATTATTATTATTTCAAAAAACCCAAAACCAATTAGGTTCAGTTTTGTAGCCTTTTGATTGTAACCTGTCCTGTCGTGTAGTAGGCCTATACCGAGTATACTGGAACTTATTTTTTATGCCTTTGCCTATACTATACATACCCCATAGAGTTACCTCCTTTATAAACCTAATAATAGTGTAAATCAATGACATACCCCACACAGATAGTACTCGGCTACGGAATAGGCCTCTGTTCATTAATCGGCTGCGGAACAGGTCTCTGGTAGACCAGGCTTGCCAGATAATATCCAGGCGTCCATTCAAACTTGTGTGAAAAACAAACAAAAAACCCAACAAAACCAGAAATGTAAACCTTTGTTTAAAACCTGATGCCCTTGATAAAACCAGAGAGTTAACTTATTACAAATTGTCTGATAAAAGTACCAAACTTTCTTGTACAAGATTTTTTTGCGTGTTTTACGCAAGGAGATTATACATTATAGAACCTTTGTTTTGTGTGATTTAAAAGTCTACTTTATCATCAATCATAAGCAGGCGCCGGCAATATATTAATAGGTATTCAAGGATTTGCTTTTAACAGATATTAAAAACAATTTTTTTTTAAAACAAATTAAAAAGCTGAAACAATTCTTCCAAACTGCCAAGACATTGTTTTTCTTTCTGCCAAAACGACCTAAGTTTTTTTAAAAACTGACAGAATTCGATCTCTGAACTGAAAATGACTTTTCCAAGCTGGCAATCCTAAAGTAAGTATTTAATTTCTTGTTTCCTTTTCCCACTTCCGGCTTCCGGTAAATCGAGTAGTTTGTTGACTCCCAACATTCATCGTGGTTCGTCAGTCTCTCAATCAGTACATTTACTGTACTATGACTGACTTGTCAAGAGTTTTGATGTCATTGGTAGTGATGAAGGGAGCCACGTAAAGTCTAAGAAGTCCTCCCGGAAGGGCAAGGCTACTGGCTGTTAAATAGTAAGTGTCCCATAGATAATGGTCTAGATCTAGAATAGAAGAGGCAGAGGTGATTTTGACTTTGTAGTTTCGTTTGTTAACCCTAACTCTGGCAAGTGGTTTCAACAGGAATGGCAGGGCCAATCAGCCAAAACGTGCACATGCTTTACAAATCAAATTTATGGACTTGCATCAAATAAAAACCCTACAAAAGTATATATTTTCTGAAAGATAATTGAATGAACTTTTATATTTTGCCATTGAACATAAGATTTTATTTAATTTTCAAGGGGTTATATAACTTTGAAATCCAAGATGGCTGACATAAAAAATTTACATGCTCATTAGCATATTCACCAATCTAATGTATTTCTTGTTATAAAAAATGTGAGATAGCAGAAATATGGGTTTTTCAATTACCTTTCAGAAAATGTATAGTTTTATAGGTTTGAGAAGAACAGGTAATGAGTTATGACTGTTTCAATTTGTCATGTGGTCTGTTTCGAGCGCAGCTGATACTCGCTAATTTCATACCAAACTCAACATAAAAACACTCTAAGTACAACCATGTGGTTTTCAGCAATCTGCTGGTAGTCTGTAATAATTAGTATAGCAAAAGGAACCTACTTTACTCTATAGCTCTCCTTTTTCTGCCCCTATTAGACTCCCAAAGTAGTAGAATCTAGTGTTCCATTTGAAAGAGAAGTTGGGGCAGGATGAGAACTGGTACTATCCCCATTGTCTGTCAGATCTAATCCCAATCTTGACTGAACACCAATAAATCCACCACTAACAGTGTCTGAATTACTTTCCCTAGTCAATTCACTTTCAAATGTATCCAAAAAAGATCGATTTTTGGCCATTTTAGACCCACACAAGTGATAGATCTACACTGGCATTAGTGGCTTGTGACCTGATCAACAAGCTTTCAAAACATCCCTCTGTTTTGAAAGCAAAATACTCTTCTCCTAAGCCAGAATGGTAGAAATATTCTGATTGGTTGGAGGTTAGCCTTTTAGCCAATCAGAAATCACTTTAGGAAGCCCCAAATATTTAGTTGGAAGGCAGAAGCAGCAGTTTACTATATGGTCCTATGAGATCGGCCCTGCCAGTTTCATGGCAGGAAATGGGCCGATCTAATCGGCCCTTGCCAGAGTTAGGGTTAAAGTCAAGACCAAGAGTAGGGGGGTTTCAGGGGGTGGGGGGGGGGGGGGGATTCATGGGTAGTTTCCCTTGCCACAAGTACCCACGAACAGGGGGGGGGGGGGGGATGAAGAATACCGGACCACTCGTACATTATTGCATGTCATCGGCGATCATGGTTCTCCTTTCATGGATAGATATTAATTAAAGCATTATTATCTATTTCATGTGGAAAAGCAGTCTGTTAAAATAGTCAAAAGTTACTAATTTTGTATCATTTCAGGTGAGTGCCAGTGTCAAGTCAAAGTATTGCGGTGTGGCTGAGTCAAAACAAGCACAATGAGGCTCATGTTTGTTGTGGATGACGACATCTCGCAGGAGGAACTAGAGGAAGCCCTCCGGCAAAATTTTGCTTCTAGAGCCAAGTGTTCGTTGGGGAAGAAAAGAGTGAGGAAAGTTCTCCCTACGAAAGGCAAAAAGACGAATAACAAGCGACCTGTTTCTGAGCCCACAAGTCCGTCTTCTTCTGATATGTCTGTCGAAGGGGTTGACGATGGAGATAACTCTGACATGTCCAGGGGAGCGGAAAATGTAACCCCTCCGATGTTTGTTCCAATGGATGTCAGGTCGGGCGTGCTTAAAAAGATTCGTCGAAATGGCTTTGATAGAGTATCGGAATGTGACAGTGAAAGTGCAGAAGAGGGAGGTAGTGTTGGTGCTGCCTCAGAGAAGAAAAACCCTTCCTTGCGTAGTAAATGTTACAGCCAAGACTTGAAAGATAGGTTGAAGAAAAGTCTGGGAAAATTTGGAGGTTTGAACGATGATTCACACACAAAAGTGAATGTCAAGGGAAGAGAAAATTTACAGTCCTCTTGTGAAGTTGTTATCTGTGATTCTCCAGTTGCCAGTGATTCTTCTACAAACGGGAAAAGAGCCGTAGACACATGTGAAGATTGCTGTGGGAAAAGGCGTGACTGTGTCTGTACTCGTACCGCTACCCACGATCGTCCCTGTTCTACAAAAAGAAAACGGGAAATGGTCTCGACAATTTCAAGGACAAAAGATGAAATTGAGGAGTGCGGAAACGATTTTTCTCGGAGCAGTAAATGTCTCAAATTATCGGAGAATACAGCAGAAGAAGAACAAACATGCGGTTTTTCTGGCAGTCTGAGGGGTTCAGTGTCAGGTGATTCAGTTCCGTGTATAGGACAAGGACAGCCTGGCTCACACAGCGCAGGTCTTGACAATGACGGTCAGGGTGTTTGTGAGCGTGAAACTTCATCTGATGGCCCACTCGGAGGAGGGGACGAGTCGGAATTCTCCCTGTCTAAAATGTAAGTTGCTTGGAGGAATCCCATTGTTGACCTCCTATTGATAGGTACTTTGATGGTAATTAACAGTCATGGTGAATAGTCCTAGTTAAAGATGAATATAACTTTGAGCTTGCTCTTTATTAAGATTCAAAGGATGATGGACAATCTGAGGAAGGATGAGAGATGAGTTAATATCTATCTAAATAGGTTGCATAGACAAGTCTCATTGTAATCATTGTTGATCCATTGATAGGTACTTTAGTGGTAAATAATGGTTACAGGGACCGTGAATGAAGTAGGCTTTTTTCTGAACTTTCTCTTTATATCTAAATCTCATTTCACTTCCTAGTTTGATTTTTTCGTCCAACAACAAGTATGATCAGCAGCCACACTAATTGTGTTTTGTGGTTTTGTGTTCTTTGTTAGATTACAAATACATATTTGAAAGGACTGTTGCTTATTGAACGGGCCAGTATTCACGAAAAGCTGTCAACTTATACTCAACAAAGTGTTAATTGAGATTTTTTTTTACAGTTGGGCACGAATAACATGAATAAAGAAAACCTGAAATCATGAAGAGCTCATGATACAATTTGCCGTTCTGCGACAGATTTTCCTCTTTATTAATTTTTCGCATACAGTTTTCTCAAATTATGGATGTGTTGAACACGTCTGTCAATCCTCATGTTTGAGTTATATTATCTGTGCAAAGTGTCAGTCTTAGACAGGTGGCCATCATACACAGTGTCGTAATGTGATAAAATACATAAGGGAGGAAATGGGAACTTGTACAGGTGAATTGTCTTAACCCATTTCCATCTGAGTTGTCTCCATGAGCTGACACACCCGCCCTGCCTCCATCCACACCCACAAATTTAGGTACTCACACTAAATGAGTAAAACTGCAACAGCTTTCTCTCCAAATAGATATAAAATTAGGAGACAAATAAGCATACAGAAATACGAGAATGGCAACTCTAAAGTAGTTTTTAAAAAACTTGGAAATGATGGACTGGAGGAAGTTTTATCGAGACAAAGAGGGATTCGGATTTTCTCATTGTCAGGTGGCTGCCTGGATAAGAGTATTCTCATAGGCCGCCAGCAGTGAGTTAAACAGGTGGCAGTTAGTTAGAGCAGGTTCCACTGTATTTATTTTTTTTTTTTTTTTGGGTGGTATTGTTCACAGTAGTCCAAGCACCCCTGACGTTCCGGAGGAAGGGCAGAAGAATGATGAGTACTACACACGCCTGTCACAGTCAATTCCTGATGAGCTGTACGTTGGCCTCGACTGTGAGATGGTGGGCGTCGGCCCGAAGGGCAAGAAGAGTGTTTTGGGTGAGTGATCAGATGTTGGTGAAATATATGCATACATATGGTTTAATTCTGTATCTCCGGCGAGCCGCTTCCCGCAGCTCACGGTCGGAACTGCTGTGCCGGTGAGCCGCTGACTGTGGCTCAGGCACATTCCTTTACGGCGACTTCGACATCAAATTACATTTCAGCTATTGCCGAAAACAGGTCTCTTTTACCGGGAGTTCATTCATTAGATGAAGAACTATCGAAACAGGTTCATTTGTTTTGATTTAGTGTTCAATTTAATGATGCTTTCGGCATTTTTAGATTTAGCGCCAAAAAGTGGCCTCAGAGATAAAGAGTTAAGTCTGCTAGTGATGGTGGTGGCTGATTTGTTGGGTTGCGGCTTTAATATTAGGAGTTGTATGGCACTCGCAGCACTATAAGGTCATATATGATGATATAAGTGTCGAAGATTAGAGGTGTTACAGGAGAGTAACGAACACAAAAAGAGAGGAAGAGAGATAATATAAGGAAGATTCATGTTTGAGATAGGATTCCCAAGTGTGAGAAGGAGTTGTTGTTGTTTTTTTTTAAACAACGTTGTAGCACTTTCAGCCCGGGTTGGCCCTAACAGGCAGAGTTGGAGCAGCCCGTGTTCGAAAAGATCTAAACCATGTTGGTGTGAGGGTAAAACATTATAAAGTTCAATTGAGGAGAAACCCCACTAACTTATATGGGCGCTGTCATTCCCTTCCACTTTCAGGTCGCTGCAGTATTGTGGATTACGACGGACGCGTGATCTACGACAAGTTTGTGCGACCTTCAGAGTTCATCACCGATTTCCGCACTCGATGGAGTGGCATTCGGCCGTCCAATATGCGCTCTGCCACTCCCATTGACCTGGCACTCCGGGAGATCAAGGAGTGTTTAGAGGTATGTGTGTGGTTGGTTGGCGGGTGCTCTGTCAAAATTGTAAGATTATTCGGAGCCGTTATCGAGATATATTTAAAGAAAAGCGTTTTAGAAAGCTTGAATTGTTGTGAAAGTCAAAATTTTTTGCGTCAGATCCAGCAAAATTAAGTACTAAGCAGATTGAGATACAGCTTTGTAATTCTGGGGTCGTGATTTATTACAGTTACTGTTATCTAACCACACTCTTGTTATTGGGGGGGGGGGGTTCTCTTTGTTGTGGCGTCAGTAGCCTAGTGGTTAGGCTACCGGACTCGTAATCGTGAGATTGCAGGTTTGGGGGTTCGAGCCAAAGCTCAGTCCGACGTTGTTGTCCTTGGGAAAGAGGCTTTATTTTTACACAAATTTCCCAATTGGCTCGGGTCCTTTCGGAGATAGACGTTAAATACGGAGGTCCCACCACTTAAACAACCTTACATTGTTTATAGGGGCGTTAAATCTATACCCAGGCATGCCGTTTTTCCGTTATTTTGAATATAAAAGGAAAGAAAAAGTGATGTTTTTGTTAGGAACCTTGTTCTATTGTTGAACTGATATCACAGGCAGTATTGCATACAGAAGTAAGTCATTTTTGGCGGCCTTTGAGATACGTCTGTATGCAATACTGCCCGCGATAAGATGGTGGGGTTTTATTTGCATTTATTGCTTTGTCCCATGCTAAATCTAATCTCGAGAAAGTTTTCAGTTATTTTGACAACAGTCCATTGGTATCCCTATATATATATACCATTTCACTTTTTTTTTTGCCCCCTCTGTGATGCGACCAGGACAAGATTGTGGTGGGCCACGCGGTCTACAACGACTTCAAGGTGCTGCAGCTTCACCCTCCGGCCCACCAGGTGCGGGACACGGCCAGCTGTCGACAGCTCTCGGAGTGGGCAGGCCAGCCGGCGCGCTGTAACGGCCTCAAGAAACTGGCGGCAGCCGTTCTCGGTGAGTGTTGTGCCGTAGGCTGATAAAACGCCTTTTTTCCCCAAAAAAAATTCAGTGCAGTTTTGAGATAAAGAGGCTTTTTGTCAGCGTAAACATAAATTTTATTTTTTTTTAACGGCATTCTTCAGAATTTTGAATTTTAATTTATTTAAAAACTAGTCACAGTTTCACTTTGATTGTCTCACAAAAGGAGGGTAAATGACGAGGCTTTCGATTTAACAAACCAAAAAATTTGGCGCCGAAATTTTAAAAGGCGTTTTTTGTCAGGATATGGGTGAAACCTTTCCTTGCCTAAATTGCAGGAGAGTCGAATGTTTTCGTGAACTGTTCTGTGTCCCTGGATGGATCATTGCTGCTTAGATATGAGGCAACAATCTCCCAGTCTTTGCCTATTTTGACCTGTGACTTATGTTAAGAAATATCTTTAAAAAGTAGTGGAAAGACAATGATGTTGGTGGTCTAGTGGTTAGGCTGTCGAGTTTGCTACCAAAAGGTTACTGGTTCAAACCCCGGTAGGGGCCAGATGTTGTGTAAGCACTTTACGCCAATTTTTCTTACTTCACCAAGGTGGGAATGGGTACCTTACAGTAGTCGTTAAAAATATTGTCATTTTGTTGGTGTTTAACTGCTTAACCAGCTGCTTGCAATGTATTATGCTTCCCGGGAAGCTGAAAATATTTCCTAGCTGTGTTCATAAATAATAAATACAGCATATGGCGGGCGGTCTGGTGTGGTTTGCTCCTTCTCTTCTACCGCACATCTTTGATCTTATCGTCCCCATCTCTCCTTCTTTTCTTTGTATGTTGCTCTCTAGTAACACTTAACCTTTGGCTCTTGTATCGTGTATTCTAGTGTTGCAAGTGCTGTAAAATTCTTACGATAAATGAAAAAACCTATAGCGGCCTAAAGGGGAGAGACATGGTGTTATGTTTTCTTTCTCTATTTGCGGGTGGTTAGTAGGTGCTCTTGTGTGGTTTGTTCCTTCTTTTCTTTAAAACCTCTATCAATCATCAATATCTCTCCTTTTTTATGATTGTTTGTTACTCTCTTGTAACACATCTATTCCTCGGCACGAGACTCATAATCGTGAGGTTGCAGGTTCGGGGATTCAAGCCTCAGCTCGGTCCGACGTTGTGTCATTGGGAAAGGTACTTTACGTACTTTTCCCAATTGGCTGTGTCCTTTCGAAGATGAACGTTAAACTCAGAGGTCCCGCCTCTTAAATAACCAAATCAACACTATTTAAGAGGGGGGGGGGGGCGTTAAAGCTCTACCATTTCCCGGTTTCTAATCTTCGGCACTTACGACCTGATTGTGTTACAAGTACCGTAAAACGCCTTCTTAAACTAACTAAACTATTTTAAAAACTTTCTCTGTTTGTCGCAGGTCGCGAGATACAGCTGGGTCGTCAAGGTCACTGCTCAGTGGAGGACGCGCGGGCCTCCCTGGACCTGTTTAAGTACGCGCGCACCCGCTGGGAACCCACGCTGCTCCGGGCGTGGGAGAAGAAGGGGGTGGACGTGGCGGTCAGCCTGGGCCAGATGAGGATGGGTCGGCGGGCGGGACGTCCCGCCGCGGGAGGGGTGGCGGGGGAGGACGATTTCCTGGAGGACCGGTTCTGGCCCAGTCGCGAGACGGCGAGCTGACTTCGAGTCGTGTGACTGGGTGGCTGACTTCACTCATTTGTGTGACAAGTTGACTCGATTTATATGAAGAGTTGACTCGATTTATATGAAGAGTTGACTCGATTAATATGATGAGCTGACTTTATTTATGTGACAAGTTCACTCGATTTATTTGACGAGCTGACTCGTCGTGTTGTGATGGGATGACGATGACGAGCTTACTTCGAGTCGTGTGACTGGGAGGCTGACTTAATTCATTTGTGTGACAGGTTGACTCGATTTATATGATGAGCTGACTCAATTTATATGACGAGCTGACTCGATTTATGTGACGAGCTGACTCAAGTCGTGTGGCGATGGGCTGACAATGACGAGCTGACCCGATTAATATGAAATCTGACTCGATTTATATGGCTAAGCTCACTCGATTTAGGTGATGAGCTAGCTCAAGTAATGTTGTGATGGGCTGACGATGACGAGCTGACTTTGAGTCGTGTGACTGGGTGGCTGACTTAGTCGATTTATATGACAAGCTGACTCGAGAGTCATGTTGCGATGGGCTGACTCCCATTTGTATAATACAGACTGACTAGAATCATGCGACACAGGATGGATGACTCCAGTCATGTAATACGAGCTGACTTGAATCTTTTCATGTAACTGATGGGCTGACTCCATTTATGTGACAATAGGCTGACTCCCATGAATGTGACTGATGGGCTGACTCACATTTATGTTATAATAGGCTGACTCCCATGAATGTGACTGATGGGCTGACTCACATTTATGTTATAATAGGCTGACTCCCATGAATGTGACTGATGGGCTGACTCACATTTATGTGACTGAGGGGCTGACTACCATTTTTGTGATTATAGGTTGACTCCATTTATGTGACTGATGGGCTGACTCCCATGAATGTGACCGATAAGCTGACTCCCATGAATGTGACTGATAAGCTGACTCCCATGAATGTGACTGATAAGCTGACTCCCATGAATGTGACTGATGGGCTGACTCCATGAATGTGACTGATGGGCTGACTCCCATGAATGTGACTGATGGGCTGACTCCATTTATGTGACTGATGGGCTGACTCCCGTGAATGTGACTGATAAGCTGACTCCCATGAATGTGACTGATGGGCTGACTCCATGAATGTGACTGATGGGCTGACTCCCATGAATGTGACTGATGGGCTGACTCCATTTATGTGACTGATGGGCTGACTCCCGTGAATGTGACTGATAAGCTGACTCCCATGAATGTGACTGATGGGCTG